AACAACGTGGAGGTACACAGCATTTATCATACCGAGGGCCGTAGGCCCGAGATATGATAAGGCCATAGAGTTGTATAACCAATGGCCAAACAACTAGTTTACTTAGCAACAGTTAGCAACACTAAGCAGTGCATTTTTTAAACAGGAGGTGAATAAGTAATTACCCTGGCTACTTCCGGGCCACTTATTCTCTTGCCATTATCTATGTGTATTATATATCATACTAAACAGGTCTATATACAAAAATATAGACCTGAGGTGGGTGTCCAAGGATGTGATATAGCCCGAGGGCCACAGGCCCGAGGGCTATATTACATCCGAGGACACCCACCAAAGGTCTATATCTTTTGTATATAGACCGGTTTTAGTATGTTATATAGGATATATTTCATAATGATGACAGCATTTCTGAAAGGCAGGTATATATACAAAAATATAAACCCGACCACATCAAAGGATGATGTCATAATTATGAGATATGTTATTATCTATACTCTTGATTTTATACATACAGTTTTGCTTCAAGATTCTTCAGCTGCTTATGGCACTGAATTTTATGTTGGAGCCATGAGAAACTTAAGAGGAGATACCGATGACCTTCTTCTGTATATCACAACTCCCTCTGTCTCTTCAGTTTCTTTTTCAATTAAAACTACAAATGGAATCATTGGTAGCTACAGTGTCAATAGCAGTGTCCCTGTTGATATTAGTTTACCAACATCACTTGTTACTAATGATGGCCTTTATTCAAGTCGCTTCAAAGGAGTATATATTTACTCAACAAATGGAGGATTAATCTCTGTACTAGTGGTTAATGTGAGACCTTACACTTTTGGAGACTATATGGCCTACCCATATCAGAACTTGGCCCTTTCAGAGTATCAATATTATGCTGTATCTACTGGGACACTTGCAACATTAAGTGATAATTCTTTAAGTGAAGTATTATTAGTTGGAAATGAAGATAATACAACTGTCACTGTCATCCCTACTCAAACTGTTTCTGTCCCTATTGATATTCAGACAAATAGTAGCAGTAAAGCAGTCACTGCTGGCTCATCGTTCACTTTTACCATTCACAGAATGCAAACGTTTCTTATTGGTGCCCCATTACTTGACATCAGTGGAACCAGTATTGTGTCTAATAAGCCTCTGACAGTAATCAGTGGTCATGAGTGTGGCAACATTCCACTTATTTGCTGCTGTCAACATATTGCTGAGCAGATACTTCCAACAATAATGTGGGGCAGAGAATTCCTTTTGACTCCTTATGCAACACGATCACATGGCCCTTACTTTAAAGTTGTAGCAGCTTTAGGAAGCACTTCTTTAAATTTCACTTGTTCTGCTAGTGGAGGCAATAACTTTAATTTACAAAATGCAGGAGATGTCACTACTTTATATTCTAGTTCCAGTTACTGCTCCATTATTTCTAATGAACCAGTGCTAGTGACACAGTTAGGACCAAGTCAAGACTCTGGAAGTGGTAAAGGTGATCCAGTCATATCACTGATTCCCCCAATAGAACTGCATCAACAGAACATAACATTGGTTATTCCTGGGTTTTCAACAATTACTAATAATTATATTAACATTGCCACAGCTACAAAAGGTTCATTGTACATCAATGGCCAGTTACAATCAGTAACTTGGAACAATATATATAACAGTATGAGTAGTATTATTGGGTACGGAGCACAAATTCCTTTTAACACAATCTCCACCTCATCTTCTTATACTATTTCAATGCAGACAGGTTTCACTGCACTAGTATATGGCTTTGATAGCTACCATGGTTATTCTTATAGTGCTGGAATAAATCTAACAGGAAATGGTATGGAAAATATACCATTATTATGCATGTTACCTGTTATTTATTAGATCCTTGCTTGAGCAATAATGGTGGTTGTGACCAACTTTGTACTAGCACTTTTGGAAGTTATGCATGTAGTTGCCATCCTGGCTTTAGTTTGGATCTCAATGGATATAATTGTTCAGGTATAATGTATTATTTTGTTTACCTTTAATAATAATATTAATTATATAGATATTGATGAATGTGCTGACAGTGATTGTGAACATATTTGTGTCAATACAATTGGAAGTTATTCATGCTTGTGTCATGATGGTTACAGTTTAGATACAAATAATAGAAACTGTTCAGGTTTGCTATGAACCAAATACTGTATAGCTGGTAATTTTGAACGGGTAAAATTTTGGCAAAAATTGCAAAATTTTTGATGAAAAAAAGGGTTTTACTTTGATGAATTTGTGGCCATCTGCCATTGAGTATGTGCATAAATGGTTCAAAATGGTGGGTTTAATATGGTGAATG